AACTCTCATTTTATCAATGTAGAATTAAGAATAAAGTGAGATAATTAACGGATACGCTATAAATTCATCTGTCAGTCTAACTAAGCAAGTCAGACGGAATGCTAAGAAAAAAGAAGGCTAATTATAATCAGATATGGCATCCTCTAGTTGCTCTTATATATCAATTGCCAAGGTATATACCTCAGAATCTTATCCGCGTGTAATACAAACAAAAAACTAAATTAACTGATTACCCGATATAGCTCAAAGCGACTAAAATTTTCATATTAATTAGACATTAATTGTTAGTTCATGCAGAAAATGTCATTAAAGTTAGTTTTCGTGTTAAACTTTATGTATAGCCCCTTAGCAATCCATACACCTCGATTGGAATAATGTAGATGCACTAAAGAAGAAGCATGCTTACAAGATAAAACACGCGATAAAATTAAATTTTAAAACGCAATCCTTTGCATACAATACAAATGCACACATGCATGCTCATTTTCACTTAGAGACGAGCCAGTAATGTATGCCAGCCAGACATTGTTGTCATTTTGAGTCCAAGGAAATCAGCCTTGCGAGTAATCCACAGTTGGATCTGGACAGTTTAATGGTTGACTTGACGCTTCAACTATACTCATAGATGAATGGCCGAATCACATGCAGCTGTTTACATATAACGATTTGGCACTGTGCGTCGAAATTTTTCAAGAAGGTGCAATCGAAGTGAAGGTGGTCAATGACACCGCAAGTAGTTATGGCAATCAAAGTTAATATTTGATGGAAGCTACCAGGAGATACAAATTCAATGAACCAACTCCAATATCTAGCACTATTAAACCAATCGTAAAATCCTGCCAAATAGAAACAATATGGATCAAGTATGACAGCATATTTTACGCTCGAGTAGGCAACGTCATTGTAAATCATAACCCATTTGGTTAAATGACTAAGATGGAAGGTAAAAGTGCATGGACAAGTTTAAACAAAAGCATTGTAGAATCGAAAAAAAACAATTTACATAAAAGTAAGTAAATTTGTATTTTTATCCACAACTTATAAGAGTAATTTTCGTATATAAGCAGAGTTTCGAGATTACCAGTAAATCAGTAATATGAGATGTATTCACCCAATTTCCTTTAAGGTGATGAAGGACTGGTAGTAGAATTTTCCCACAATAATATGAGTAGAGCTGACATTTCCATTAAATTTCGCATAGTCTTGCTTTCCCAAAAGTTGTTCTCATCCAGGGGGGACTGCAGTTTCGACCTCGCATCGGTCTTATTAACACCACCAGCGGGATTCGAACCGTGACAGTGCGGCATGTGAGCTTGACAAGTGAAAAACTCGGCCACATTGCCACGAGTGCCCTTGGATCACAGAGCAGATGTGAATTTCAAGAAGGGCTAGGCCTTTTCCCATATCACATTCTTTGGTGTGTTGTCGAAGAAGCAAACGTATTTTTGCTATAACAATCGACTACATTACTTAATTTTCGTATATAAGTAGAGTTTCGAGACTACCAGTAAATCAGTTATATGAGATGTATAAAAGAGTAAATGAGTGATAACCTCTTCTCTTGATATTTTCAAAGTTCTTAAGCTGCAATAAAAACAAAAAACCTGTCCTTCGCCTAAGAAAAGAATATTCGAGTAGCGTCTTATCGTGTCAGAAGAAGAAACTGCTAGGGTTAGTCGGGCTAAAGACTATTTCAAGCAACTACAATGGATAATAAATTAACTCTTGCCACTATTTCTAGTAATTCTTTAACATTATTCTCTCAAGGTAGGGCTACTTTAAGAAATAAATCCATTAGAATAGCCAGCTAGAACTAGGCTAAATCAGAGTCCTTTAAAGCCCGTTTTCAGATCAATTCTTTAGTCCAAAGCCCCACCGAAGACTAGTTGTTTACTTGTGTATTTACTTGACACCAAAACAAGTTGCTGCATGACAAACAGTGGAATAGGTTTAAGGCAGTATCGCCAAGTATGCTTGGATATCGTTAACTTACATTCAAGAAAGAACTGTGGCACAATGGGACATGGCTGAAAAAAGTCCCAAGCGGCTGTTATGATAGCATTTAAGTCGAAGAGACGACTATGATACGTGCTATCAACGCCACCAGTGACGACAGTATCAGCATTACCGCCCGTCCTAACGACTTCTTTCATCATCGATGTGGATGAGGCAAAATCAGCCAGCTTCACTGACGCCAAAGTCAACTCTGCATAACGATTAACCAGGATCAGCAGAAACTCAGCCAAGGTTACCGCAGGATCATCGGGCATCAAAACCATCTGATCGTAAGGGGCGACTGAGCAGACTGGGTCAGAAGTATCGCAGCAAGTATCCTCAGAATAACTAAAGGCCGCCGACAGATTTTCATTCCCTTTTCGTCTATCTTCATCTAGCTTCTCTTCTCCATTCATTTCTCTCGTCTTTTCTTGCTCCCTGTGATAGTCTATATAAAACGTATGCCTATTCGAGCCTTCTTCCAGTTCGGAGCCATCTTCCATGTGTTTTTGAGTCCTGTTTCGCCCACCAATAGCATCTGTTTCTAGAGCAAAGCCTTTCCCTGTAGCCTCAATGCGACGAGTGCTGTCTAGGTCACAAGCCTCCAGCATCGGCTGGTCAGTTGCACGATATTCCGACTGAGTAATTGCGTGAGTTGAAGGAACCAAGGTCTTAGTGATGAAACTGGTCATGCTGGAAACGGTATTCAACAAGGAAGAGAAAGAGGAATTTGACCGATTGGAATTGGAGTTCGAAGTCAGCATGGCTGCTTGACAAAGATCATTTTGTTCTGCAGAGAGTCAGTGTAAGTGGAAAATAGTTCACAGGACAGTTAAAAAAAAGAGTAGAGGGATGC